TGATGAATATTTGCCTTTATGGATAAAGACCGATTTAGTGGACAACACTGGTTAAAACAGAACTTAAGATAGTCCGTAACATGTAACAGGACAGAAGGATTCTGATCGGGAAACACCAAAAAAATCTGTGGTGGAAATCAGGGATCTTAGCCGTTCTAGGTTCTCTGATGAACAATTTCTTTAACTTACGATCTTGAAAGGCCTCCTTAAAAATCTGTACCGGTTGGTTTGTTGTATACAGTGGATACGATGATCTGAAATGCTACGAGTACATTTCTGGACTTCAAAGTTGTTGTCTGTTTGTAAAAACGAAATCTAGTTGTGAATTGGGTCAGGTAGCAAAATGTAACAAATTTTGTAGACCCATTGTGGTGAGGAAAGTTACATCATGTCCGTTAAGATCACCAAAAAAACGCACAAAGAGTCGGTTGTTCTTGATATGATGGAGGTAGAAAAATTTCAGAAAACCTATTTATGTCAGCCGATGATATTGTGGGTGTCAGGTAAAAGTTTCCAAGAAGTATGGAACGAAACCCACTCAAAACAAGGATCTTACATTTGGCGATGTGGCAACTGATTTTATTCGTCGACTAATCGTAGATGACGGTGATTGATTTACTCCAGTTGTCACTAACATAACTTACAACAGCTCCGCCTCGTTTACGGACTCTCGTGGGACGGTCAACCCGATACAAGTTATATCCATTCAGTTGTACCATTTCACTGGGAAAGAACCAGTCAAAATAACTACCAACTTAGTTCACATGGAGTAGCCACCTTGGCTAGCGTGCCTTATTGACCCGCATAATGCAGGACTCTTAGCTAGACCATAAACTGACATAAGTGAAACAGAGAAAAACGTGGGCAAAGTTTGTCACCGCAGATTCGTATGTATTCGCGTCAAGTTACTCAGGGTGAATATGGGTTCAACTCATGTTGTATTGTTGGGCCAAAACAATTTGCAACTGGTCACACTCGAGCCTTTGTTGTTGGCTCGGAACGGGGAGGAGGGGAGGGTTGTTCCACCGAATCGCGAACGCATCGATTGTTGACAGTAGGCGATGCTCTACCCGATTGGATCGTACTCTGTTGAACATGTGGACGGATCTGTTCGATTCACTCATTCGGACGGAACATTCGGTTTCAATTAGTTGAGCGGTGAACGCCATGTGCCGCTCACCAAAGGACTACCATCAATCCACGGCAAGGTTAGCTG